ATATCTTGTATTATTCTTATATATTTTTCGGGAACCTTTTTGTGGCGTAGCGCCCACCAGATAAGTTTTCTTTGGATTCTATCGAAGGCCTAGATCGAGAAAGACCATGTGTAGCTTTTTGTTCTTTTCCCTGTATTTTTCACTCATTTGCCTAATTGCATGGATAGCATCAGTTGTTGATCTTCCAGGCATAAAGCCAAACTGAGTCTCTCCTATTTCGATTATGTCTCATAATCTTTTTTCTATAATTTTTTCGTATCGTTTTAGACAGTGTGACATTAGTTTTATGCCCCTGTAATTTTGACAATTGTGTGGATCCCCTTTATTTTTGAAGATAGGAACTAGATAGCTCTGCCTCCATTTTTGGGGAACCTCTTCATTTCCAAGTATTTTATTGTACAAATTTATGAGGAGATGTATTCCATCATCTCCTAGTGCTTTAAAGCTTTTTATTGGAATATCGTCTGGACCTCTAGCTTTGTTCTTTTTCATATGCTTGAGGCATGTGATTATTTCTTGTTCTGTTATTGGTTGTACATTTGACATGGGGAGTGTTCGTCTAGATGTAGTATGTGGGGATAATTAAAATTTTTTTAAATAAAATTATTGTTATTTAAAAATATCAAGCATACATTTATTAGGACTAATAACTATTTCTAATATACAAATTTAAATTAATATGAATTATAAAAAATTAAATATATAAACCGATATATAAAAATAAATTTGATTTAAAAAATATTAAACGAATATAACCGGCGGCATATAAAGACTTTAAATAAATCTGAATTATAAAATATTAAGTGGATATAACCAGGATATGATGACTATAAAATAAATAATACATAATAGAAATTTAAACTTTTTTGAGCTTTTAAAATTTATATATAAAGTATAAAAAATCTAAATGTTGGAAATATGAATAATTATATTTTTTATGTAAAAGAAAAATATATAAGACATTAAAAAATGATAGCACAAAAAATATTATAGAAACATTATATTTTTATTATGTAAAATCCAATCTTCTTTGGGAGGGAGCTAATTTTTCAATTATCTCATCCGTGTTTGGCGTCAAATGATTCAAAAGGGCCAGACCATTCAACCTACTTTCAGAAGTTGTACTTCTTAGGTACGTTTTTAATCTTCTTAAAGAAGAGAATGTTCTCTCATTAGTTGCAGTACTAATGGGAAGAGTTGCTAATATATATAATAATTTCAATATATTGAGAAAATAATCTAAAAGATGTTTGAAATGATGCAAAGCATCATAGCATTTTTTGGGACTATATCAACCATAGTTAATCTTTTATACCATAGTTGGCATTCAGCTAATAAAGCATCATGAGATACATTAATGTCTTCATGATAAAAATCTTCCAAATATTTTATTTTTTTTCTATCACCATCTGAAAAAGGTTCAGAGGGCTTTTGCGGAAGTAATATCTGCAGATTGATAAGTGTTTCTTGATAAATTAAAAACCTTTCATTTACTTGGGTTATAAATGTATCCAAAAGAGGTATAAAGACATTTATTTTATAATATTCTTCTATTGACCCTATATTAATATTTGGACGATAAGTTTGCCTTACTGTAAGTCGAGGGAGACAAATATTGAACTCGTATAGCTCTGCTTTTGATTCAACATTATCATATAAAATATGAAATTCCTCATCAGCATTCGCTCTAATTTCTTTGAGTTCTAATAAAATTGTCTCTGCTATTCTCATTATCTCAATCAAATCAATTTCAGGTTTTTGAAAAGTCTTACATAAAATAGTTGTATAATTAAATAATTTATTAATACATTCTAATGCGAAAAAAAAATTTGGTATAAGTATTGAATCCAGTAACTTGCTTGCTTCTGAAGAAATATCTTTTTCAGACATTGTAATATTTCTATAAGAGCATTAATAATCGGCTCTTCTAACTCGATAAAAGCTGTTACTGCTTGATGTCGAAGACTACATCTTGTTGGACAAGCTTTTTGCAATTTTTTTCTCCTTATTGGGCAAGGAGTTTCAGATATAATTCTGTTCAAAATATTTTGACGCTTGGGGTATCTAAACATCTCATAGATGCTAGATATTTTACCTGATATAAATATAAAAAATTTAATTTAATAATTAAAAACCTAAGCAATTTGATATCAATGGTAAAGAACATGAATCCGATATTGCTAAGTTGAGTGAATGGGCAGCGCAGTGGACATATATAGCTGTTGGGCATTTTTTTTTAATAAATGCCTGAAGCCTATTGAATTGTCCACTCATTGCACGTGCTCCATCATACCCTTGCCCACGTATTATATTTATATTTAGCTATATTTTTTAAAATAATTATATAATAAGATTAATTATTGCTTTTAATTTTTTAAGATTCACAAATATTACACCAGCTAAAGCAGACCCAGTCATGCTTGAAACAGGAATAAATTGGAGAAACATTTCCTTGATAATGTTTTTATGAGTATCTACATATCGCGCTCACAACGACATCTGCTCAATGCCAGCAATGTCCGTCTGCCAAAATTGAGAAGCATGGGGCAGAATTGATTTCAACAATCAATTTTTCTAAAATGATATTGTTGCAAATATCAATTATCTCATTTTATATCCTAGGGTTGAGATAAGTAGCATTTTTATTGGTACTAATGAGGCTCTCCCTAATCCTTTAAATTTTAAAAGTCCACGGAAATTACCTTCGTTATCATTATTATTAAAATTTAAGCTTCCTGAATCCCTGTGGCCACGAAGTGCTAGGCCTTGCAAGCTACAATATAAAATAGCCTCAATAGTTAGTTTTATCTTGCCTCTATTTTCTTTTGCAATTTTAACCCTATTTTTATCAATTATTGATGAAATGGGAAACATATCCCCCTTTTGAATTGATTCTTTTGAGGAAATCATCAGTTCACAGCTTTTGTTTATTAAATTATCATACTATACTTTTTTGCTTTTTGGCATGATTTTTTCAGCGTTTTTAAAAAAAAGTCTAATATCCATGACTAGAAATTTGAAAATTATAATACCGGGAAATTTAAAAATAATAGATAAATATTACGCCACAAAGAAAACTTGAAAATGAAATTAATTGATAAAGTAAATTAGTAAATGAAAAAGGTAATAATATAAAAATTTAAAAAGAAATAGATATGAATAATTATAATAAAATATAAAAAATAATATTTTTGAAAAATATGTCCGGCATCTGCATTTTAGCTTGGGGGGGGATGTCCCTATGCCCCCTACGCTGCGTACGCCAATGGTATGTGGGGATTAAAGTTGAGAAGCTCCTGAAAATATTCTTTCCATCTATTCATTATTTCTTTTTCCTTTATTAAAAAAAATAATGTAATCAATGTATTTTATAATAAATAGTAGTAAATGAATATAATTACTAACAATACAAACCAAAAACCCATAAAATGGGGATATAAATTATTTCTCTTCTATGGTGAAGATGGGATTGTCTACAATTTAGAGGTATATACTGAAAAAATGCCATATGCTTCTTGATTTCCCTATGGTCCATAGATTGGCGTCATTTATTCCTCGGGATTTAAATTTTAAATGTTCTTTGACAATTGGTTTGCAAGTCCAATATTATGTAGTGTTGGAGTGATACAAGCAGCAACGATAGCTAGAACAAGTCATTTACCGAACTGCACCTTCTCTAAGAAGAGAGGGAGTGGATGTTTTGGTACTAAAATTCATGGCTTAGAAGTGAGGGCTGTTAAATGGTATGCTAATCGCCTAGTTCGCTTGCTCAGTACTTTTATTTGAGCATCCTCTATTGGAGAGAAGGAGAGATATGATAGGGGGAATACCAGAATAAGTGCTAAATGCTCTCTACAACAACAACTATGCATATCTATATGGGACAAATTGCAGTTATTAAATATAAATTACTTTTTTCAAATCAAATTTTTAACAAATATTTCCTAATTTATTTAAACTTTTTCTGGATAATTAATATGCTTTGTAGCTGTGTCATGGTTCATGTTATTTTTGAAACTTATTTCTGTTTAAACCATTCCGATTTTGAACGAGGACACCCTATTCTATTTTGTTTTAAGTGGTACCAAATCAAAATGCCTCTTTCTTTTTTCTGTTTAAGCTATAATGAAAAAAATTTTAATTTTATTTTTAAAATATAAAAATGGCATTATTTTTTCTTTCCATTAAATTTTTTAAATTTATAAAAAAAAATTACTAAAGCTTAGCAAAAAATATCTTTGGAGGTTGCTGTTATATAAATGGAATATATGAAGGTGGCGTATAAAAGAACAATTATTATTAGAACAAATTTTAGACATTCATTGTTTTTGTTTTTAGAGAAGATTTGAATATTATACAAATTGGATAAATTATAAGAAACGATATTATAAAAAGGAAATTTAATAGGAACAAACATATTAGTTTCTATATTAATTTTTTGTACATATTTTATATTAAACAATTCCAATTTCTTTTGTCAAACATGAGTCTGAACAAAGGAAATGAGAGGCGCATATATAAATGATAATTAATTATTATCTTGCCTTCAAAACATAAATCGCGCTTTTAATTTTACCTTGAAAAGAAAGATTAATATTTATATAATCCCTATTACTTAATGCAATTTTCCTTAATCTAATATTAAAAGGTTTAAACGAATTAAATTTACTTTAATGAATTCCTAATTATCTAAAAATTTATTTTGACTCTTAATCGTAATTAAAGCTTTTTTTTAAATATTTTTTTTTCCCTGGATAAAAATGGATTGGATCGATAAAATAAATAATGATGAAGATTAAACAGAAAATAAAATGTTTTAATTGGCGAGAAAAGTATAATAAATATATCGATCGACGAAAGGATACATAATATAAATATTTAACATTTTTTAAAATATTTATAAAATTTTATTTTTTATGTTATGGGATAAAAAAAAATTCCTGGAGATTATAACATAAGCAAATGATTCCTTTTCTCCCTTTTTGTAATTTTTTTTATTAAAACATTTTATTTTTTCATTAATTTCCGGAATTTATGTATAGGTGAAAAATAAAATTAAAATTCGATCTATATGTCGTATTCACTATAATATAAACTTATATAGGAAGATAAAATTTGATTTAAAAATAAATATAATGCATGTTAAAATATGCCCTCCTTATCTGATAACGACATTAAATCTAAAGATAGCAAGGCAGAGAAAAACAAAAGGAGCCCTATATCTTATCACATTACTAACATTAAATTCGTTAACATTTGTGATCCCGATATCAGTAAACTAGATCAACATTACAGTGGTAGGAGTAAAATTAGGGGCGATAGAGCCATTAAAAAATCGCCAAAGGACAATTTTGCAAAAGAACAAAACAAGGAAGAACAACTTCATACCTTACAAGATTATTCAAATGTTTCCCTTATTTCATCCATACCTATATCGAATAACCAGTTAGAAAAGGGACAAAAATTGTCGTTCATTATTGCCAAATATGAAAATCAACAAAATTTACTTTCAAAAAAAAACTCACACACTAGTGGCATCAAACCACTTCTTTCGGTCAAACATTCCCCGAATATCACCAAGACAGTGATAAAACATAATTGCCATCTTAACAAAAAATCAACAGCAAGGGTCCACCGTAAATACTTGCATCTGTACAACACTTTATCTTCTACCGATGAAGGTTCAACTGTTAACCACGGACGGCGATTTAAATCTCTGTTATTCGGGTTTTGGTCTCCCTTAATAATAATCAGTGTATTTGGGATTCTGGTTATGTCGATCGCATTGCTAGAGATCCTGATGCTCCATTACGCTCAACGCCACAGTTTGGGGGCCAAACTCCGGCGTCGAGGTGATAAGGAATTTATGAGAGGTGGTTGGAGAACTGGGAACTCTGATTATCAATACTATTACGAAGGAGATGGAGATGATGCAAATGGGATTGATAGAAAAAGGTATGTTTACAACTATGTGAATTATAATTATGACCCCACACATTCTGCTTCTTACCGTGAGGAATTTTTTAATGAGGGCGATAAAAGCAAGGCTGACATTTCTAATGAAGTCCAACGCAAATGGAAGGATTTGTCGGAATTCGACTCAAAATATGATTCTCACAGTTTTGTAGAGGCTAAGAAAATTCATAAAATACCGATTTTTGTAGGCCTAGAACGTAAAAATTTAGATGACAATCAGAGTGCCCACAATTTACCAATGTCAGAACGGGGTGAGGTTGAAATATATGATGATAGTTTTATTAAGGTTAAAAATTTATTATTAAACTTCAATAAGATCCCCAAATATATGCCACGATTGAAATCAATCGAAAACACTATTTTGCCACTAAAATATTTATCGTCTGGGCGTATTGGCAAGTTGCAAATGTCAACTAATAATCCTTTAACAATCAATGGTCATAAAAAAAACATTTACTTAAATGGACAGGGAGCAGTTTACAAAAAGGATAATCCTAATGGGATGGTGCAAGAAAAAACAATATTTTATTCTCCTTTCCAAAATTCATTTGATGTTTTATCACTATTGCCAAAAGGTCTCCGCCCATCTATTTACTACAACTATTTGTTAATGCATCAAAGCTTAAATGAAAAACGGTTTAGGGAAATCATATTAAGTCAATCACAACTTTTTATCAAAAACAATAAAAGGTTAAAAACATCCATGCATCTGGGATACCATGACCATTCAATAATAAAAAATCAATTTATACCTAAATCGCTCAATTCTTCAATTAAATTTGCTCATCCTAATAAATTTAACATTCCTGATTACGGCAGCGTCAATATAAAAAATTCCAAAATACTCTGCAACTTTATTTCCGATTATTTAAGTTATTACTTTTTTTTCTCTTTTTTTTTGGTTTTTAATATCCATTACATCCACATCATTATTCTGAATCTACCAATCGAATATTTCATTTTTCGAATTGTTCACGAATATTGATTTGGATTATTCTAATGATTTATGTGCTAGAATATTAATTATTATTATTCGATTCTTTTAAAAATAATATGCTCGAAAATATTTATTGTTTGCTCTAAAAATAATAACAAACATAAGTTTTATTAAAATTAATACATATAAACTAGCGTTGTTAAAAATCCCGATTTAGGTTGAATTTCAGAAACGGCTCAATTATGATTTTCGCCAAAATAATATAATGTAGGCCTCGAGATTTGGCAAATAGATTTCTAAACCTTCCTGCCATCTATGAGCAAAGTCTACAGGCTTACATAATATTATATTTGTTATAATCTTAATGGAACTCTTTTTTTAAATCGACACGAATCGGACTTTTTAACAAAATTAATGTAGAATCCTCTCATGCTACATGTAGCCCGGGTCGATTAATAGCCCATACTAAATTATAATTCCCGCAACACTATTACGAACATTGTTTGAAAATAGAAAATTAGAGATCTGCAGAGGTACAATTTGCAAGGCCCGGTCTGGATTTTTTTTCACGGTCCGGCCCGGCTTTTTTTTTTTTAAAAAAATTCAGGTCCGGCCCGGATCTTTTCAAAATATATTATATTTATTTTTTTATAGCTAATATTGGCGATTTCAAATATTTGGTTTAAAAATATACGGCCCGGCCAGGGTATATTAGTCATACCTGGCCGGACTTCATGCTGATAGAAATATAATACTAACCTATATATGTGTCAAGCATGATAAATAATTTCTTTAAAAATTTAAAAATTGTGAATTTCGCATTACACCTTTGAAGGAAAACCCTTTCCAAATAAGATATTCCCTCATATGGCATATCTTACATATACTATCCAGATTAATTCACCATCATGTCTTGGCTCAAAATTAAAATTATTTTAAACCAAATATAATTTTTTTTAAGTATGGGGCTAATTACCAACACTGGTTTGTAGCTTGATTCGATAAAATAAAAGTAAATTACCACATAAATCAAATATTTTATTTTATCGATCATTGAAAACTATAAGAAACTTAATAATCATAATCAAAATATTATTGTTAAATAAAGGGTAATCTATCACTTCATAAAAAATTTAAAAGTAAGCCAATTAGTTATTTGTTAGGTAACTAACGTGGCCTATATTTTTTTTTTTTAATTAACTATAAACAAAAAAATTATATGTAAATATTAGTGTTGCAAAGTAACGTCAGTGAAAGTACGTCGTTGCTAACGGCGTTACTTTTTTGTGGAAAAGAAACGCAATTCGTTACTTGTTTCAAATGGTAATGAGTAACGCGTTTATTTTTTTTTGAGTAACGCAAAACGTTTACTCGTTACTTTAAATTTATTCTTAAAATGGAAAAAATATTTTTTATTAAATATTATATTTTTTCACATTTTCAGATTAAACCATCAAAGTTCTTCATTTTTATTTTATTTATATATTTTTGTTGTTGAATTTTATAATTATAGTCAAGATTGTTAATCTAGTTAATATTTAATCAATCAAGGTATGTTAATTTATATTCACTAATATTATCATTTATTTTATAAATAATATATCTCAATAGTACTTATTTCTTAGGTGAATTCTGGTAAAGATAAAAAAAAATTGATGAGAATCTGAAGGTTCTTGTGGAGATGATACAATAAATATTTTTGAAAATAAAGAATATTCTTTAAATATTTGTAACACCTCCAATTAAAATTTTTATTTATTAAATATACTGCCCTCCCATCTTCAGCGCCAGTTGAATGTGTGTTTCACAGAGCAAAATCTCTGTTGTGCAATAAGCGCTCTTTTTTATCTGATCAAAATTTTGAAATCAATTGTTAAGTAAAAAATTATTACAAATGTATCTTATTATTTTTAAAAATTTATATAAAAATTTACGCGTTACTTTTTTGAATAAAGAGTAACGAGTTTCTTATTTTTAAAGTTGGTAACGCATTCTTTTTTACTAATGTAATGAGTAACGTATTTCTTTTTTGAAGTAACATTTAAAAGCATTAGTAAATATTAACATTTAAAAATACAATTCAAATATTTATTTACTATTCGAATAATATTCTTGAATTTAAAATAAAAATGTTCCAATACGAATAATAACGATCAAATAATAAAAGATTTTATTAGATTTGAATATAATTTAATTTAAAGAATATCGAATATACATAGAAGCATTCGTATAAATTCTTTTGTTGATAATATATTTAAATTAATTTATAATAAATCATTATTATTTCTCATATTTTTATATTTTAGTTAAATCAAAGACAGGCGGTTATAATGCAAAGACAAAACGCATTGGAAACAAAACTTATGTACAAATAAACTCTAATATAACCTTTTATAAAAAACCTAGCCTATCGCTACGAAATACAGAATTTATTAAAATAGAAACATTTAAAGGTCCAATATCGTGGGCAAAGTTAAAGAGCTTTCTACCTTCTGTTAAGCAAGGTGGGCACTGGAAACCCCAAAAATGCATATCTAGACATAAATTGGCTATTATTATACCTTATCGAGATAGGGAGGAACATCTTTATAAACTATTGGCCTCTTTACATTCCTTGCTAAAGCGACAAGAGATTTTTTACAAAATATATGTGGTAGAACAAGTATGATTAATTTTTTGTTCATTAATAAATTATGTTTAAAATGAATAATTGAATTTTAGTTTTATATCATATTATAATGTGATCATAAGAAATTCCTATCTTATCTCTCGAATTATTCTCTCTCATTTATATGTCTTATTTTGGCCGTCATAGCAACTACTTATTCGCAGATTTAATAACAGGATTACCCTTTTAACCTCAACAATTATCACTTTTAAATTCCTTATATAAGGTATCATTTCTATGAATATCTAGTCAACATTAAACTACTATTAGTCATGCTCACAACTCAAAGGCAACCAAATTTGAAATTTAATAGGAATTTATTAATGTTTAATTATAACGCCATCTTTGAAATAAAACATATTAACAATGTATCATATAGTTTAAAATCGAGTCAGAACTGAGAGAACGATCAGGCTTATGAAATTCCCGTTATCATTATCACTTTAAAAATTATCCCTGCACTCACACCTTTATTTGAATTTGTGTCCAATTTTAATTATTCATATTTAAAAACATTATGAATTATGAGAATAACATATTGACGCTAACATATAATATTTTTTTAAAAGTATGGATCAGGCTTGTTTAATAAGGCTATACTTATGAACGCGGCTTTTAGAGAAGCATTTTGGGAAAAGAATTTTCATTGCTATGTGTTTCACGATGTTGATCTCATGCCCGAAGATTACAGAAACATGTATTCATGCCCCAAGCAGCCAAGGCATCTCTCAGTGGCCATCGATGAAATGGATTATAAGTTTAAATTAATTTTATATAATGCCCTCTTGAAAGGATAAACTATAAAATAAATTATATAGTTTGTGTATTATTATATGTTTGTATTTAAGGAAAATACAAATGTATTGCTACTTTCTTACCGCTTTAGAAATATCTTGACCACTAAATGAGTTTGAAATCTAAAAATTTTATTTCATATCCCTTAGTTACTATATACTATTAAAAAACAAAATTTTAAAAATATCTAAAAGGATCCTGCATGTAACCTTCTCGTTTTTGTTAGTGGAATTGATAAAATATTTTTTACACATATAATAATACCCCCCCCCCTCTTAAAGTAAAAGCCTATCAACTGTTAATCAATATTATCTAAATATTTTTCCACTAGATTAAAATATCAGATGCTTGTAGGAGGTGTATTAATGTTTAAACCCGAACATTTTATTAAAGTCAATGGTTATTCGAATTTATATTGGGGCTGGGGAGCTGAAGATGACGATATGGCATACAGGTAGCATTATATATTTATAATTAAATAAACTTGAATAATGTTTAATCTTAAATCATCATTTATCTTTTAAAAATAAATGATGGGAAATTTCTTTACCTTGGAAAATTTTCCCACAATTTTATAATAATTGTAATAACCAATAAAAGTGTTTAACAAACGATATAAGAGTTTGGGGTAAAACGTTCGATATTTTGCATTTTTTTCAATAAAAAATAAAAGCAAAACAGAACAAATTATAGACCAATATAATAATGTGTAGGCTAATCTCTCACCTATAAAATAAATGTAAAAAGTATAGCTCTCCAAATAGGAACTATAATTATTTATGTGCAATTTTACATTTTCGCAATTTTAATTCTTATACTAAATTTAACTGATTTTTATTGGTTTCGCTGACTAATTAGTCGATAAAACGGATGTGGTTAATTAGCCATAGGCATTAATCGGTTAGGCTTAGAGCCGTTTTCAAACTCCTATGTATAATATATATAGTGGTTAAGCTTTCAGATCTCTGGTTTATTCTAAAGAAAATAAATTCGTTTATTTATTTAAAAGATAAAAAAAGTCCTTAACAATACAATTTTCCATTCATACATAACTTATATTTTCTATGTGTTTTTAAATTATTTTATCCTGCATGTAAAATTATTTTAATTATTTTTCAAGACAATTGTTTCGAACCCCAATTTTCTTATAGCTATTTCTGAATTTTAAATATTTTTTTTTGAAAATAATAGATATTTAAATATATATTTTTGAGAGGCTAATTTCAAAATGTCAAATTGAACCGAGAAACTTAATATTTAAAAATTTAGAAAGAGAATCAATTAAGTAAAATAATATTGTAATATTTCTTTGATAAGTTAAACTAATTTTAAATATTTGAAACCTATTTTTATATATATTTTGATTTTCCCCCTTTTCTAATATTTTTTTTTATAATTCTGTCTTTTAGCTTTGATGGGGGAACTCCGTTTTTTAATCTAATAGTAGTAATATTACTAAACAAAAATTTATTTAAATATTTTTTTTGTAAATCTACCTTTTTGTTTTCCTGGAACCTAAATCTAATTTTTATTGATTATTTAATTCATATTAACTACACTGTGTTTCATTTGAATTAATACCCTCCTTTTTTTAGCAATAAATCTATCATTTCTAAATATAATTCAATAAAATTTTATTGATTGAGAGAAAAATAAATTATCAATGATTTCTACAAATTATCAAATTCTATCAACAGGGTCCAAAGTTGTTTTTTCTCATTGCAACAGCGTATACCCTATTATTTTGCAGATTTACCGGTGGAGTTACTGTAAGCAGCTTTTCATCCGTGAATAAAATGAACTAACCTCTGAGGGTATTTTCGTAGAAGTTGTTTACGTCCCAGACGGAAAATCTTTTCGCATCATTTAGGTCCTGGGCTTGTTTCTCTTTTAAACATTTTAGTTGCGCCTCTTTGTAAATAATCGAATGCACTAAAGTTTGCGAAATACCAGATTCTCGGGATACTTGAAGAATTGTTCTGTGGGCGCCAGGCCAGTCTTCCTAGTCCAATTTTCTATATTCCAAGCTATGCATAATCTACCATCAACATACAATTTTTCTGCTGATCAGGTAGCATCAATTTTTGCAATCTATCGATTCGTTAAAAAAAATTTTAAAACCTTTTGGCTTCCTAATGTTTTTAGTTTCAAAATTATAATTAAACTCAAGTCATTTTTAATGAAGACCATTTTTTTTATTATAATCTGCTTTAGTGTTGTTAAACGGCTCAATTTGAGCTGATTTTTAAAAACAGCTAAATATAGCCTAAATCTCGATATTTTGCTAATAGGTGTTCAAACCTTTGTACCGTCTATGAGCAAAATCTTAAGGCTTACATATTTTTCTAAATAAAATAGTTAGTCATTTATAAAAGTCTACTCAAAACGAGCCATTTAACAACACTGGTGTGCTTAAATGTAAAGTTTAATAAAAACAAAATATTTTACATGTTGGAAAGTTCGAATTTTGTTTGTCCAACTATGAATATGCATAACTTTGGACCCTGTTATTTATCCCTCTCTCAATCTATAAAATTTTATTAAATTACTTAATTGACAGATTTATTACCAATAGGATATCAGTTCAATTGGAATACAGTATATATTCCAATCATAACCTATAATATAATACAAATAGAAACGTTCATTCTATAAAAAAGGAATTGGGACTACAAGTTCCCAAATACGAATAATTATATTTTTAAATAGTAATTTAAATTTTTTGTTTTAAAAAATAAAATTCTTTGGGTTCTGATGAAGCCTTAGGGCTCTTATTTTGCCGCCTATATTTTTTAAAAAAATATAAAGTTCCGCTTGACATGTTTCCAAGGGAAGAGATTAATTATAATAGTAACAAAGATAATGTCATAAGAAACCATGCTCAAATATCTTTTGAAATTTAATTCTAAAATTTAAAAAAATTGAATGAAATGTATTTATGATTAAATTCTCCCGCATTTTATTTGAAAGTGGAAATTGAAAACTTAGTTTTGATTGCGATAATTATAAATCATTTCTCCTTTTTAAAAACAAATTAAAACCCATATTTTGTATTCTTTTTTGCATATTTTTATTTTATTCCTCAAAATCGAATAGAATCTTTAAAAATAATTAAAGAACTTAAAAAATAAAATTTTTAAATTTTATCACCGCTAAGAACAAAATTATCTAAAATACTTTAAATGATATTTTAATTATTAGATTTTAAAATAAAAGTTATATTTTACTTTTATGTATATATGGGTATATAGATAATATTATTGGTTCCACGTCTTTATAGAGAAACCATTATAGAGAATGTATTTTATAGAGAAACATTTATAGAGAAAACAATTATAGAGAATGCATTTATAGAGAATTGTTTTATAGAGAATGTAATTTATAGAGAATGATTTTAAAGAGAATTATTTTATAGAGAATGTCCTTTATAGAGAATGACTTCAAAGAGAATGATTTTATAGAGAATGCCGTTTATAGAGAATGGTTTTATAGAGAATGTCGATTATAGAGAATGATTTTAAAGAGAATTATTTTATAGAGAAGGTCCTTAATAGAGAATGACTTCAAAGAGAATGATTTTATAGAGAATGTTGTTTATAGAGAATGATTTTAAAGAGAATTACTTTTATAGAGAATTATTTTGTAGAGAATTACATTGTAGAGAATCATTTTGTAGAGAATTACAATGTAGAGAATTATTTTATGGAAAATTATTTTCTAGATCTTGATTTTATAGAGAAATATTATATATGGGACAATTGTAGAGTTCAAAAAATTTATGCGGGATTTGAAAAATATATCAAAATTAACATTTTAATAATACAATTCAGTTTATTTGTTCTATTTTTTAGATGACTTTATTTGTTTCAACAATGGTTTTTTTGTAAAATCTTTTTAGTTCATATCAAGGTTTAGCTTGATTATTAACTCAGCTAAACCAAACCTTAAACGATTTGTTAAATATGTATTAAATTAAAGAGAATCTAAACTGAACCAACCATTTTTAAAATTTTTATATATTGCGTTTATATGTCAGCTACCTAAATTAGCCTATAGAAGGGTTCTTAACTTTACCCTTATGAATATAATATGACGGACGAGAATCTTGATTTTAATTTTAATTAAGAAAAGGTTTTAACCAGTTGTTTGGGTAAAAAATATGTCACATTCCCGTTCGTTCTGCGTTTCGGAACTTCTAAATATAATTTTCTTTCTATTTTATTATACAAATTTTATTCATAAATCTTTTTAATATAGATAACTAAGAATTCATTAATCTCTAATGATACACATTTAGATGTATGCGATGGCTTTAATATATTGAGTGTCGAAAAGTGCCGATCTCTATTTGGGTTTCCACATATTTATAGAGAAACCAATATTTTTGATTTATAAGCACCATAATTTTGTCCTTCCTAAAAAACCAAAACCGTAAATTGAAGGTTTCTATATAAAATATTATAGCGAATGCATTACCGCAAATGCATTATCGCGAATGTATTATAGCGAACGCATTATCATGCATTATAGCGAGTATAATACAGCGAAAATATTATAGCGAATGCATTATCGCAAATGTATTATCGCGAATTCATTATCGCGAATGCATTATCTCAAATGAATTACATCAGTTGCTATATCGGGAATGGAGTTTGATGAAAACTACAATTTTATATTTATCGGCCTTTAGACAGACTTAGTTGAACCTGAAAATTAAGTTAAAGTTGGGCTTGGGTCTAAAAATTTTTTTTTTTAAATAGGGTTAAGGCTTTTGATTTTTTTGACTCAAAAAATATAAAAAAGATTCTAAGCAATAAAATAGATTTCTCTAAAGATTAGGGTAAAGGAATTAAATTTTTATATTAATTGATTGTTTAATATGCGTTTAGGTATATTTTTCAATTAAATTTGGGACAGGACAAGCTCAGGCCTAAAATTTAAAATTATGGTTAGGCTCCTAAAAATAAAGATTTTGGATGGAGCTTTGGCCGAAATAAAAAAAATTTGCAAGGCACTAAGAAAAAAAGTTTTATTTAAAACATTGAGCCAAAAAGATAATTAGACCTCGGATTTATATTATTCTTTGACAAAGCATGCTTTAATTAGTGAGGGATTTAGTATGGACTTGATAAACAGTTTTTGATAATAAATTTATATAAAGTTCTCTTATTGTTTAATCAAAAAGACAAGGTCAAAGCTTATCACAATAAGACATGAAACAATATTCAGCATCATAGGTATATTGTCGAATTGAATTACTATCCATCTCAGTACTTAATTCGTGTAATCTCTGATGATGAAATTGCCACTATTGTGACTTAGGAATTGGGAAAAAAATAGATTATTGATTTCCTTAATTGATTCTTGCTAAGTTCTTGCTTCCTGACGAGTCTTTTTTCCAATTATGTGATCAAAGACAAAATTATATAAAAATAGATATAGAAATATAATAAA